AGGGGCGGGATATAAATAAAAATTATTATTATTATTATTATTACATATGTTATTGCAGGATTTGGGAATGCATAACCAGAGAAGGGAATGGGAAAGCAGGAGTGGATTTTTATAGGAAAAAGCAGAGACTAAGGGCCAAAACGTACTGGAGAAATAATCCATTTTGACACTACTTTAACTACCCTGGCTCAGTGCTAGGGAATTCTGAGAACAATAGTTTGTGCTGGTATCAGAGCTCTCTGACAGAGAATGCTAAATGTCTCACAAAACTACAGTTCACAGAATTCCCTAGCATTGAGCCAGGGCAGTTAAAGTAGTGACAAAGTGGATTATTTCTGCAGTGTGTGTTTTTGGCCCTGAGACTTAATTCTAGCACTGGGATATATGTATGTGCATATATGTGTATGGGGAGTCGTTGGCTGAAAATATCCTTAGTTTCATTTACCCTTCTTCATTCATTGTTGTGTGCCTTCAAATTGTTTCTGACTTATGATAAGCCTAAGGCTGTTATCTTGGCCAGATTTGCTCAGAGGTCTAACCACTATGCCAGGCTGACTCTCTCCCTTCTTCATATAATCTAACATTTTACAGATGAAAATCAGGACATGTGGATAAGTCAAGATGGCAAAAGTTATTGATGTAGAACAAAAGACAAGATATGAGAGGCTACAGAAGTTTGCTTTTGTCTTGGTCAACAAGGAAGGACAAAAATTCTGTGCTCTCTTGTCCTTTTCCCCATTGAATTAACTAAATGCAAAATACTTTTGAACTTTGAACTCCGTTTGCAACAACTGACATGAGCTAACAAAGGGGGGAAAGTGAGAGGAGGAGAGAAAAATTGGGACATTTTAAAAGCAGATGAAAAAAGTGGGACTATAGAAGATTAACTGGCACCATCCCTTCCAAATCAGGACAGCTGGAGGGTATACTTCCTTAATTCCAAGTGTGTACCTGCATTGCTGAGCCACTGCTCAAACACTGGTTCTAGTTAGATCCACTGGATCCTGAGATTCCAGTAAAACAAACGGAATAGATCCCATATGTTTGAAGTCTACCCATCCTGGATTTAAACATTCACTTTTACTCCAGTAATATATGAATGGGTTCAATATGAGAGTTGATTAGTGTAATGTGATTGTACCTTATTTACTGTATCAGGCATTGTTTTAATTAACTATTGAACTATTTTTCTTGGTATTTTCTGCTGAGTGTTGTCTTTATGAATTTGCTCTTCTGGTTGCTTTATTGTTGTTGTGTGCCTTCAAGCGACCCTAAGTTCAGTGGGGTTTCTTGGCAAGATTTTTTCAGAGGTGGGTTGCCTTTGCCTTCCTCTGAGGCTGAGAGAGTGTGACTTGCCCAATGTTATCCATTGGGTTTCCATGGCTGAGTGGGGATTCAGTCCCTGGTCTCCAGAGTTATAGCTCAACTCTCAAATGACTGCACCATGCTGGCATTCCTGGTTGCTTTACAAGTTCGAAGAACTTTCTGTGATCAAGGTTAAATTTCTCTCCTCCCCTTTAAGGAAAAGAACTGTGTAGATTTTGCATTTTTATTATTATCTTTTTTTTTTTATTAACAGCAAGTGTGGAATGAGTTTGAACTTTTTTTGTTGCTTTGGCAGACAAATGGAAGCAAAATCAATCTCGTTGGAACATTTGCATTTGTACTCTTGAGTGTGTTTACTCGAGTTATCATCTTGTAGCAGGCAACTCTGTTTCACTTTGATCTCGTGCCACCTAAGGTATTTTACACAAAAATCATTAAAACCCCACACATGCAATTATGACAATGTCTGGAAAGCTCATCAGTTAACGTAGGGTGCCAGAAATTTTCATGTTAATCTGCTGCAGTATAAGAACTGAAATATAATGCAGTGTTTTTCTGGTGTTGGGTTGTTAAGGGGGTGGACTCCTTTCCTTCCTCTCCTGCATTGCAACAGCATGAGTATTAAAATGAGGAAGGGAGGGGGAGAAGAAGAAAAAAGAATGTGGCAGCATTTTTAGAATGAATTGCTTTTTATATCAAGACTTAAAGGTTAGTCTTAAAGGTGCTGCCACATTCTTCCCCTCCTTCTTCCTTTTCATGTTACAAGAGACTAACATGGCTACCTCTTTGAAAATGAGTGTGGAAAATTGTAGCAAAATGAGTAGATCTCACATCTAGTTGGAAGATGTAGCATGTCAACGGATGAAATACAATAAGACTTGAAGCGCAATCAAGTTAATGGGGATGAGGATGGGGATTTTGCAAGACTAGAAGCCCATCATTTCAAATGCATGTGTAAATACGGTTTAGTCCATCATCACCTCTTCAAATTATGTTTCTGTGGGAGCTCCAGAACATTTCCTATGCTATCTTCCTCATTGACTGAATGGGTGTTTCATTTAGACAAACACTTGCTTCCTTTCCTGTCGGAATCAAGAGAGATAAGAATAATAGCAATAAAAAACCACCCTCTTGTTGTGATAGAAATGACAGAGAGGAAAGAGGACCCATTAGTTTGAAATTAGCTTTATGAAACAGTGCCTTTTATAATTAAATAAATCCCCTGCTTCTGATGCTGTCATCATTTTGATGATGGCAAACATAAAGTCATAATTAAGCAGGGCAGCTTGGATTCTATAAGCTAGCCTGGGGTTTTGTTAGTATCTTTCCACATAGGAATATATTTTGCAAAAACTGTAAAAACATCTTATACAAGAATGCTATGAATACATTAATGCACATGTGCACTAGATTGATCAGATTTGTTTAGCAATTAATACACTGTTATTTCTCCTGTGCTGTGTAAAAAAACACACACCCCAAACCAGAAAATCTCATTCAAACTAGCATAAACTGCCAGCTTTAAAATGTGAAAATGTATAAACCAAATCATGTGTATTTAAAATACATATTTTTAAAAAATCAAATAAAATTCACATTTTATGTTCCTGTGTTTTATTTTATTGTATTGTATTTTAAAAAAACCCTGCATTTTGGAGAAATGACATAATATTTCAAATAGCGGTGTCACTAGGCTTGGCATCACCCAGTGCATAACTCATGGTGTCCCCCACCTCCCCATTGACCTCCCTTGCCACAACATATAGAATTCTTAGTAACGTTTTCTGTACTAATGTGACTCATAAATCGTAATTCCCATATATCACTGAATGTAATGATAATCATTGTGACATAAGCAACTAGCAAAATTAAAATTATATCTTTATATTACAATACCATATGCACAGCCTAAGCATATTTACATGTACATAGTTTCATGTGGTTTAAAATATTTTAATTTTTTAAAAAAATAATTTTTAAGGAGCCTAAGCCATTGGTGAGATCACAGTATCAGCTTGATGGTATCTCTCTGGTTATCATTTGTGAGATGAGGGCAAACATTATCTTGTTTAGCTGATTTTGTATAATTCTATGATTGAATGTATGGCTGTTGTTGTTGTTGTTTTTGTTGTGTGCCTTCAAGTCATTTTCCACTTACAGCAACTCTAAGGCAAACTTATCACTAGGCTTTCATGGCAAAATTTGTTCAGAGAGGTTTTGCCTTTGTGTTCCTTTGAAGCTCTGAGAGAGTGTGACTTGTCCAGTGGGTTCATAGAATCACAGAGCTGGAAGAGACCTCAAGGGCCATCCAGTCTATCCTCCTGCCATGCAGGAATATACAATCAAAGCAACCTTGACATGGCCAAGCAGGGACTCAAACCCTGTTCTCCAGAGTCACAATCCAGTGCTCAAACCACTACACCACACACTGGCTCTCTGTAAATCTATACCAAACTTTAATAGTAAGAGGGAGAGAAATACCAACCACAGGAATGGTTTTGACCCAGCTGTGTCATTTTGGAGAACAGCTTAATTTGGCTCAGACTGCTTCAGAAGCTGCCCAAATTATTCTCAGTCCAAACACTATTTAGGATATTTGAATGTTTCTTGGTTGAACCACCCTTTGGGATATCTGAATATTTGTGGCTCACTATTGATGATCATGGGGGGGGGGGAAATCAACAAACATTTTCTTTTTGATATTGCTGAATGACATACCAAGGTTCAGACAAATGGGTATAGCAGTGTATTTGCAATACTGGGTGTGAATCTGGTCCATTATAGCCCCTCTTTCAACAAGAACTGAAATGGATCTTGACTTCTTGGTCACTGTTGAAAGGGAGGCTTCTCTTGGGTGTAAAATAGCATACTGTGGGCCCGAAACATGGCAGAATTGCTACTCTCAGCTCCTAGATGAGATCTGGAGGACAAAAAACACAAAAATGAGGAGGGGGTCATGGGATCACCCCCCCCAAGTTCCCCCAGATGTCCATTGTAGCCCCAATAGCTGGCAATAGTTGTCCACTGCTGGTGTTTAAGAGCATCTATTTTCAGTTTTCACCACCATCAACAAAAATGATGAATTTATGCCTGTGCATGTAGAAAAAAGATGAACCTATGCCTGTGGGTGTGCCTGTGAATTTTTTTGTGGTGGTGGTGAGATTTTTTCCCCCTGAAATAAAATGCAAATAAAGATTCCTAAAGAAAGAAACCTACATAATAGATAGGTATTCACTCCCGACTCACATACTCTATAGTGATGTGGGTAATCTATATGAATGTATTAAAAATACACTTCTGACTTAACATATATAGCAAATACAGAGACTGATGCAGAGTTTAGGAAGACACAATGAATAAATAGCAATTTTTTGTTTGCTTTGTTTGTCTGCTCATTTAACAAGAGCAAAATTAGAACAACCTTCAGTGCTTTGTCCTTATAGACAACACTTCCAAAAAAAATGTTTGTGGAGCTAATGCACACTATACAGAGCAAGTGTCTTTAAGATGCACACATTTCCAGATCCAGTCAATACACTGCAATCTTTTCTGAAACCATCATTGGGCAGATCTCAAATGTCTATTGTCTGTCACATGAAAATATTGCTCATCTTTTATCTATATGCAGTGGGTGTATCCAAACTAAACAGATTAAAAACCCAGCAGTGTTTTCATATATACTATTTTGATACCACTTTCACTGTTCTGGCTCCATCCTACAGAATGCTGGGATTTGTCATTTGGTCAGGTACAATTATCTGCTAAAGAGCTCTAGTCAACTCCCCTGAACTATGGCACTTTGGCAAAGAATTTTAAATACCTTGATGAACTACACATTCCAGGATTTCATAGGATGGAACTAAGGCAGTTAAAGTGGTATTTATGTGTTATTGTTTTATGATATGGATACATCTGAGGCCAAAGAGGCTCCAGATTAGCAGTGATGCTGTGACATGGGCTAATGATTCAGTGATACTGCAGAAATGAAACTAAAGTATGTGCTGGCTATGTAAACATGTACCATTGAGCCACATTGTGCACATAACAGGGATCATCTGGTCCCTCCACCATTTGTGAGAGAAGCAGGAGCAAACAAGTGCATACTGGAGGCAAGTTTATTGCAAATGGAGTTGAGAAAAATGAGGTGTGGGGTGGAAAGAGTCTTTAGTAAGATGGAAAACATTAGCCAGTATTGTATAGTTAAATATACTTAACCTCTGGAGAGCCAATGGGGTGTAGTGGCTTGAACACTGGACTATGACTCTATAAAGACCAGGGTTTGATTCACTGCTCAGCCATAGAAACTCACTGGGTGACCTTGGGCAAGTCACATATTCTCAGTGCCAGAAAACACCCATGATAGAGTCACTTTAGGGTTGTAAGTTGGAAGTGTCTTGAAGGCACACAACAACAAGTAACTTCTCCTGTCTTAACCATCCCCAAATTTGCCTGAAACAAGACCTGCCTGTGCTCTGATAGGTGGCAGAATGGAACTCCTTCTCATGCAGTCGATGCCCTGTAAAGTGGTGGTGGGGAGTTATGATCATGGTAATAGTGTCACAATCATGACTATCATGAACATGAAATAGTTGCCTAGATTTACTCATCTGGAGAAGTTAATTAAATTAGTGAAGTAGCTGATATAGAATCAGGGCCATTATTTTGAGAATACAATTCCCAGAACCCCCAAGCTGACTGACTTCTGTTAACACGGGAAACTGTACCTCCCAGTGCACTCTACTGCATGAAAACCAACAATGGCGGCCATGTCACATGTGCAACTAAACTAAACTCAGAAGGAATGCACTGTGCAATTCTAGCAAGCTTCAACCATTGCTACAGGAGCTGATTTTGGTTCAACTTGCTTAGTGGCAAAGAATTGAAGAATGATAGTATCATGACAATGTACCCTAAGGGGTTCTCTTAATGTGCTTTAAATAGCTGTATAATGTTCAATGTGAATTCATATGTTAATTGTACTTGAGCATTTTTTTAAAGCCAGAAAATGGATTCCTACCCCAACTATTCTGTGATGCCAAATATGTGGCAAAATTTCTACTGCACGAGATAATTCAGCCCTGGCTACACTGTACTTATAATTCCAAGTTGTTTGGCAGCCTTTCAGCAAATTGTAGCCATCAGAGACCCAGTTAGTGCTGTGTAGGTTTATTGTTTCCTGTGTACTCTAAGGCAATCAAACAATTCTGCAAATGTTCTTGAAAGGATACTGCTCAAATGTTACTTCATTAAACATCACCTTGGCACTCATTCCGTTTCCCACTTTGAATTGCTGCATTTAGTTTGGAAATGACCTTTTAGTACAGGGAGCTTTTATTAATTCTTTGATCTACTTGCAGTGTGACAAAAATAACAGAAAGCATCCACAGCAAATGCTTTGTAGACTGGCTGCTACCCAAGTATGGCACAAAAAGGAAATGAATGCAGTCATTAAACAGATTAGATATTGTTTGAAACTTCTGAGATTCCCTTCGTCCTCTTACTGAATTGAAGATCAATATTATATACCATCCAGGAGATGGTTGTTTTGCTGCTTTTTTTTAAAAAAATGGAACAACCAACTTCTTTGGCAGCCAGATTTTGTGCTCAAGCATCCCATGGCTTACAAAATAGCCTTCCTGTGGCCACGCAAAACATATTGCATTATGGCATTGTGGATAATGTAAATTTTGGCTACTGCAGTCAGGCCAAAAGTCCCTTCTTATTCTTCAAGAATGGTGGGAAATGAAACATTAAAATTTAGATAAAACCAGATATCAAACTACCTAACAAGAGAAGGTTGTGTACTGTATTCTAATTATGGACCCTGAGAGTGAGCATAGTGTATGGATTGAGTGTTGGACTATGACTCTGGAAACCAGGGTTTTTTTACCAGTTCATCATGAAACCTACCTTGGGCAAATCACATGCTCTTAGCCTCAGGGGAAGGCAATGCCAAACCTCCTCCGACCACATCTTGCCAAGATAAGTTCACCCCATGATAGGTTCACTTTAGGATTACCATAAGTAGGAAATGACTTGAAGGCACACAACAACAAACCCTATATAGCTTGGGTTCATCCAGGCTATCTGATGAACTGAATCTCCCTATGCAAAGGGATCTTGTAGCACCTTTGAGACTAACTGAAAGATTGAAGTTGGTAGCATGAACTTTTGTAGACCTCAGTCTACTTCCTTAGATGCAGTATCAATATCAGTCATCAGTATCTCCTTATATGATCCTATATGATCTTCTAAGATCTTCAAGTGAAGCCCTTTTCTCAGTACCACCACTCTTAGGTGGTAACAAGGGAGAAAATATTCATGTTGGCTGTTCCCACACTTTGGAACTTCCTCCCTACAGTGGCTAGGATGCTGTCCTTCCCCCTCTGCTGTCCTTCCTCCTGTAAGTGAAAACCTTTCCAACAAACTTTTGTGAATTCACTGCAATGGGCTTTTAATAGTATGTTGCTAATATTTATCTTCTGTCTCTTAATAAATTTTTAAATGGTTTAAATTCTATGGGTTGTTTAACTGTATTTTAAAAATAATACACACACACATATTGGATGTTTTTTCTAGGTATTTTACTCTGTATTGGTTTAAATATTTTAAAAGCCTCCTTGATTCCCAGCATGGGGGTGGAAGGCAATATATAACTGAACCACCCACCATCACAAAAACCAGTGAAAATTATGGCAATCTGCTGGTGAACATTAAACATTCAAAGTGATATATACTCTGCTTGATAACTTTCAGTAGTGGAGTATCAGAATCTCAAGTAATCAGAAACATTTTCAGAATTTCCTATTGGCAAAAGCATGTCATAGCAGGCTTCGTTCATTCATCTCACCCTACTTCCTAAGCACATTTATGTGGAAGAAAGAAGATGGCCCATTTTGTGAATAAATGTTTGAGCTTGTGGTGTGAATTGGGAACAAGCAAAACCCACAATCCATCATAGGTGATTCCAGATAATATAATCATAGAAGCACAGAGTTGGAAGAGACCTCAAGGGTCTTCCAGTCCAACCCCTTATCATGTACCAAGAACATTTTCCTCTGAAGTGGGGTTCAAGATGGCTAAATATGCAATTTAAACATGTTGTTTCTAAATTCTTAGAGCAACAGTATAGTTGTTGTTTTTGTTGTTGTTATTTCCTTCAGGCTGACTCTGGTTTATGGAAATCCTGACAAGATTTATTCAGAATAGCTTGTCATTGCCTTCCTCTTAGGCTAAGATAGTATGATTTGCCCAAGGTTGATTTTTAACAGGAATCAAACCCTGGCCTCCCAGAGGCTTAGTCCATCACTACACCATTCTAGTTCCATTTACAGCACGTTGTTATGTGCCCTCAGGTTGACTCTGACTTATGGTGACCCTATCGTAGAGTTTTCTTGGCAAAATTTGTTCATATGAGGTTAGTCATTGCCCTA